GCGATAGTTACCACTAGGTAATCGAGATGCTTTTTTCCTAAATAAATAAAAAAAATAAAAAATTCATCCCACTTAAGTTTAATGCTTCATTCTATCATGTTCCTTACTTCATCAAGTATTATTTCGTATGGGAGAAGAACGTTGCGAGAAATAAAATATGGGCCATGATGAAGTTCCAAGGATGAAATTTAGGCTTTTGTTGTCCATGCCAGGAAATTCAGCCGCTATCCATGTTAAGACCCCTCACACGAATGGAACGATGTCCTATACAGAGGGATTGCACCGGAGCAAACCAAGGCCTCTACCAGTGCTGCCTAAGTTGGAAACAGTCTAACCTCAGCCAGAAGCCGGTGAGGTTGGGCTCCGAGGGACACGGCAGCATTGGCCAAGGCTGCAAGCAGAAGAAAACCAAAAGACTTGAGCGAAACCTCTTGAGGAAGCTGCGGCTCTTTATCTCGTTATCGCAACTACGAGCGCGCTGTAATTTACGCTGCTGAAAATCTGGCTCAAGGAATTCGGGGTTGCACGCGTCGAGCCACGGAGTGACTCCGAGGGGAGGAGTGGTGATGCAGAGAGCCCAATGAACGGAAGAGGAAAGTGATGACAACGGGAGGATCTGAGGCTTACCCACACAGATGACATAGCTATAAGACGATGACTATTCAGCAGTTAAGCAAAGAGAGTGTGGGAAAGGAGATAAGAACATGATAGGTACTTGTATGACTTAATTTATAAGTGAAATAGGTAAACTGGCTCAAAATCAACTTGCAGCCAACATAACTAGGCCTGAGTAAGGAGAGGTGGCTGGAAATCACAACAAATATTACTCAAAATTAAGTTTTTCAGAACAGTAATACTTTTCTTCCTTGGAACTTTCCGGTCAGCTCTAACAACTTCACGCATCCTACTGCATTTTATTTTTCCAGGTTTTCCTGAAATTCTTCTTCAGGTTTTCCAATCCTATTTTGTGCGACTTGTATCAAGCCTTATCTACATTAAACCATTTTTCTGCTCTTCAAGCCGTCAGTTCAGGGACTGAGTTGGATCAGTGGGCATTACAGTTGAAAACAACAACAACAAAAAAGCATTATTTAAAAAATATTTGCACCCATACTGAATATCATACACACTGTATTAGTGACCACAAGAAATGACATTATCGAGGGGACGGTTTCACCGTTTTTAAGGCCAAAAGCAGCTGTTAGACTATGTGGTCTGATCTAAATAGTTTAAGCTCGTGGTCTGAATCGTTTTTCTTACTTGATAGGTACTGTTGGTGACCCTGAGCGGTGAAAATGAACGTTCTGCCACTTCCCGTCACGACGGTGCCAGACCCGCGTTTCCTCGGACTGCATAGTCTTTGGCATCCCGCTCCCATCCATGTACTGCGTCAGCCGGATGTACGCAATGCAGGCGGCATCGTCGCCCACAAGGTGGACGTGAGGATTGAGGATAATGGTGTGGATCGGCTTGTTACTTTTGGATAAAGCTAGGAAACAAACACACACACACACACAGAGAGGATAAATCACGTTTTCTCTGAGTGAGCCAAAATAACGCTTCTCCCCCCGTTTTACAAAACAAAAATCTCGAGCTCAGCAGATGCAAAGAAATAGTTCATGTTTACTGATAATCATGACAGGCAACTTGCTCAAGAACGTTGTAGAACCGAGCGCAGTCACAGCATAAAGTATGTTTTCCCATTTCCTATAAGGAAATCAATCAAATGTTTAACAGTACATATTATCTAATCCTTGTACATACATGGATTAAATCGAAGCGGGGCCACCATTTTGACTTTCTCGACTGAGTCTTCCCAATATTTTAGTTTTGCTGCTGTGTCTAATGTCTAATGTGGGGCCACCATTTTGAGTTTCTTGACTCGAGTATTCCCAATACTTTAGTTTTGCTGCTGTGTCTAATGTCTAATGACATTTGTACTTAATATTTTCAGTTGAAATAACTCAGCTTTTAACTCATTCTTGTGATGTATTGTACTAAGCGCTGATATCTATGAAAACTAAAAAGGAGTGGCAATGAAAGGGAACATTTCTAGGAAAAAGTATGGAGGATGCTGTTTTGGAGATGAATTTAGGAAGATGATAATCCCATTTTATGCTCAGACATTTCTTGGAAATTACTGGATAAGGTGATCTGTTCACTTACAGTATTTTATTTCGAGCCAAGTCTGCTCTACAATGGTTACCTACACTACATGATGCTCCAGAACTTTATTAAATCCACTCTATGGACAATCTTTCCTTCTTACAGCTGACATAATTGTAATATATGTATTATATATATTGATGTTTTCACATATGTAGACACCCACACATGTCCCCACTACAGAAAAGACAGTTGATCAGATGCTCAGCAGCACAAACTGAGCGACTGCAAGGTCTTGCCCAGTACACCACGTACTCACTGGAATTGCTGACTCTTAGTTGCAATCACTGTAATCACCCCATCTAGTGACCTTTCTTTTAAGTATACTCATAGCATCATTTTCTCTTTTCCCCAACACACAAAAAAATAAAAATGTATGAGAATTTCTTATCTATGGTTTGTGTGCTTTTTTCTTTTATACATCCCGACTTTCTCTTTCCAAATACCTGAAACTTTCCTCTGCTATCCGAGGTGGACGTATAGCAGAACTCTGAAAAAAAAAGACACTACTCCCCCTGCCCAAATCAAATCACTCCCAAACCAAAATGCTAATTAGACCCAAGAAACACAATCGCAAGGACCAGGTGAAGACTGATGGAAATGGAAAAGGAATGTTTACCATTTTCAAAGTAAAAGCGGTGAAAGTCCATCCCTTCTACTAGATTACCCAAAGCTTCAGGTTCAAAAGATGTAAGGCCTGGATCACAGATTTTTCTGTGGAAAAGAGGAAATTCTGTAATAAACAAATGCAGTCATGCAACACAACTTTGGAGAGATTACTTTTAAAATGTTTCCTTTATTCCCATCGCATGCATTACTTACCTGTGCCATCACCCTGAAAAAGAACAGAACTTAAACGGGGAGAAATAATGGAGTTCTGGTGTCACCTAAATCAGTAAATTTGGCAGCTTACTTGAGGTGGACTAGATTTCACATGAAGCATCTTTTGACCAAAAAGAAGACTGCCAAAGAAGGCCCCATAAGTCAATGGTATTACAAGTAGGAATTTTTACTTGTGACTCTGAAAACTGCTTCCCTGCAATTCAAAGGATTTTTTTTTTCATGTCTCACATCATTATTTAAGCAAGATTTAATGTAGGTTTTTTTTTAACTGACAAAATGTAGACAAGAATTTGGAGTAAGTTTCCACTTGACATATGTACAACAAAGGTTTTAACATGACCGTACCAAACTAAAGTTTAGTGCTGGCAAGTTTTTAATGGGACAAGTGGTGTGAGGCTTGTACTGCAACAGGACAGAATCCACCCAGAGAAACACAGGAGACCAAAAGAAATGCTGAGAAGGGCTTTCCTCTACTTTTTTTTTTTTTGAGGTAGGAAAAGAAGAGAAGCAGTGATGGAATTGTGTCTTTGCAAAGAAAAGTCGAGAGAAATTGGTCCGCTTTCCCCCAGCAAATTCTTGCCCAGGGCTCAGTAGAGGCTGGTGGAACCAAAATTCCACGTGGTCTTCCACATTCTCAAGTAAAAATAGGACTCCAGCTGATATCAATCTCTACATACAACAAATTTTTTCTGCTAGAAGAGGATTCTATTGTGTTTTCTGGATTCTAAATCACAAACAGGATTTTACTTTCGTACACCAAGACAGACCACTGCAGATTTTGCATCAGGATTATGATCCGGTCTCGGCAGAGTAGAACGTTGGCTTTACACTAGCAGCTCCCCTGGAATTGGCAACCAGGCTCGTGTAAAGCCGAGGCAAAGCAGTTAAGGAACACATGTGGTGTTTCTTAAGGGCATCTGAGAATGAACTTCAAGAATACATGAACACGAACACACACGCTCGTACATAAAAATGCACATTCACGTGTACAGTGGCGCATAAATACACCAACTCTCCCCACTCTCTCCGAAACAAGAGAACTTACGTGTAAGCTTCGAAGTCCCCGTTGTTGATAGCTTCAATCAACTGCTCGGTAACCTTGATAATCTCCTGCTTACGAGCTAGGGAGAGATACAAACACAGCTCTTTAACACGGAGGGCGAAGTGGACGGTGACAGTATTCTGTCATTCCTCGGCTGGGGCAACAGCCATTTCTCGTCCTTTTCTACGACCAGAGGACACGATGTTATATTGCTGCTTTGCACTGGTTTGGCTTCAGTGTGCTCCTGTATTCACGAGGAAATTAAACACGTGTCCAGATCAATCCACTCTCCTACCACGCTTCCAATCATCTTCCCTCCACTGAAGGATGTGGTCTTTAAAAAGCAAAACGAACCCAAATCCCAACTCTGAACTTCAAATTAAAGGAGACTGATGATTGTTTTACAAGCGACGCTCTCATGTTTCACGTACACACGAAGCCTTTATCTTTTAAGTGTCTAATGGTGATGTTCAAGAACCTTTGTAACCCTTGGTGTTCACTTTGGCCAAACAAGCACGTTTAAGTAAAGAGGAATTGAGGCCTTATGCCTACAGTCAAGACCCTCTGGAGCAAAGCTCATCGATCACATATGGTACATAGACATCCACACAGCTCTAATTACAACACAGCGTCTTTCAGCTCTGACCTTTGCTTGCAGAATGTTTGTTTTTTTCAAAATCTCTATTACAATAAACCTCAATTAGATCATTCGGCGATATTACAATACATCTGCTAACAATAATAAATGCTAAATAGCAACAGAAGACAAGCAGAGTATGTGTTTCTACAAAGAATATTCAAACTCAAGCAGTGTTTGCGTATGCTTCAAAGGCAAAAGTAGGTGAAATAGTTTCTCCTTTATCTATCAGTCAAGAAGCAAGCTCACAGTTCAGTATTTGTTAACGCTGATAGGAGTTACACCAGAACGGTGCAGAGTAAACAAATTCCTGCACTTTGGTACGGTTATTGCTAATACCAGTTAGTCTAGGAGGCAAAGTGTAAGAGACTTTACCAAGATGGAAAAAATCTTACTGACTTCACTTTGAAAACAGACTTCTACTTCTAAAAACTTGGGGTTTGAGGAACAGACGTTTGTATTTTCGTACTGTACATTTATCGTTTGGTAAAGCTCAACCTTAGACGGATCAAGTTCAACCAGAGTGGCACTGCTCTCCAATACAGATTTTTGTGAGCTTAATGCTAAACAGGTCAGGAGAGAGATTTTACTGGTACGTTCGCAAAGATCTAACTTACGTTCAACTCCTTATTAAACCTCAGAAAATCGATTTGGAAGACCAAGCTTGAAATAAAAAGAAACATGGGCAACCAGGCTGTGGTAGCTCTCTCGTGCAAGCAACAGTTGTAATTCTCCTGCACACTCCTTCCTACACGTGGACTGGGCTACTAACACACGTGCACACGTGCAAATATGCTTGGAATGTTAAAACTGAAGTACTGAGAGAGCTCATGTTCTTCAAGGTGATGATGCTGGCGAGCGTAGGCAGAATGCAAGTCTCCAATGCTGTATGGCAAAAGTTGGCATGGTGGTGTTAAAGAATGTTTTTATTTATAAATTGAAAAAAATTGGGAAAAAAAAAATCCTATTTACTTAAAAGCACCAAAAAGAAACCATCAGGGAAGAAGTGACAGAGAAAAAAGTGTCTATAAACATCTAGCTAGGCTTTCTGTGAGTAGCTCTTGACCAGCAGATAGCTTGATGGGCAAGAATAATTCACGTCTGAATTACCTTATTTTTCACAAAGACTGGGGAAAAAACAAAGGAGGGTAACGAAGAGATGCTTTGACTGCAGACCAGCAATGGCTCCATTGTCCTATGTTTAAACAACATAGAGCAAACTGTGGACATCGTCAGCACGAGCCAAGTGGTAGGACGGTTGAGTAAAATTTAACAGTGCAGTGCTAGAAAAGGCTGGCAAAAAGAAATCCACAATACGCAGACTTCACGTCGTGAGGAAATCCCAAGTTTTGCGTGCAACATCTCATATAGATATACCTAAATGATTTGATTAAATAACCTGGGAACACATTCCAATCAGAGAGTGGGAAATTACAGACTGTTAAATCAGACAGTGGAAAACAAGGTAAAAATTTCTGATGAGCTGCTACATAATCATGAGATCAGGTTATTGGATACCATGTCAGCAATTAAAACATCTACAAAGGTACTGTAGCTTCCACAGGCAAGAGACATAAAACCACACGGCCACGTAATTTTACTTTCACTTGGCCAGAGACAATTGGCAATTTTCCCTTTTTCACTAACATCAGCCACTTCTTTTCCAAGTTTTACCATGAGAGGCCCACGGTTAACTTACGTGTTACACGTAGTCTGACGGGGAACAACCAACAACAGTGAGTATGTGAACATATTCTGTTAGACAACATCCTGTGATCCAAGCCCAGAGGCTTATCAAGGTGTTTTGGTTTGTTTTAAATGAACGGTGTGCAACTGAAGCCGGATGGGAACCTGACTCACTGGCATCTGTTCGTGCCTTCCATAGAAGGAGTTAAAGGAACGTGAACGACAGAAGTTTCACTCTGAGAATCTTTGAGATTTTGAGACTTGATTTCAATCTGAATGAGAATGGAAATTTTTGCCAACATTTACAAACATTGTTTTGGGTCGATCAAAATGTTGCACTTCAATCATACCTTTGATGTTGTGCTACATTACAAGACATAATTCAACATCAACCCCAGAAGGGAGAAACTGAACCGTATTGCCAAATTGCTCTTTTTCCTGTTCTTCCAAAAGGAAATTGCAGTGGAACATGTGTTTTCATGAAGCTTTCTGATAGGAACCACCTAATATTACAGACTATGGTTCCAGCAAAGTTTCTCTGGGCAGTATCAACGTCTAGTAGAGCTGTGCCTGCTGACCTGTCCATGGAACATCAAACACATCCATCAGGAAGCTCTACAGGCCACCAAAGTTAAGTAAAGGAGATTAAGGCAGTGTCACTGGCTCAAATTGATCACCATCTAACTCCAGCACTAGCGTCAGCTCTTCCAGTACTTGTGAAAGGACTTCACAGGTCATGATGCGTCAAGAACACAAAGATGTTGCCAAGTCATCTGCCTTCCAACTCATTTCTCAATTTTTCTACAAAATTACGAGTGCCATGTGAAACCGTATATGAGCAAAAATAATACATGCATGTTAGAAAATCAGGTTTCTTCCTATTTAGTGATCTGATACACAACCTCATCGGCAGAAAGCAACTAAGAGCCAAAGAGAGAGGTGAAGCGTAATTTAGAAGCCGGAGTCCCAGAAATTATTTATCCTGCGTGCAAGTCCCCACCTCGTTCTCAGACCTTACTCGTTTGAGAGCAAGAGCGAGCGTTAGAAAAAAAAAGACGGTCAAGAACAAGGCAGTATGAAATATTCAGTAACATCAAATGCCAAAGAATAATTAAAAATCTCAGTAGCCACCGTCATTTCACACAATCCTCCTACTAATCATTTTTGGGTATATTTTTTATCTTTGCATTTTGTACTTTCTGCATAGGGATGTGCGTGGGTGCACGGAGACAGAGCACAAATACAGACCAAAATTATTCCAGCCTATAAATACATTGTCTCAGAAGCAGAGGTTGAGCCTGGGAGGAAGGAAAAGGAGTCAGGGAAGGAGGAGACAGGAAAGCAGCGACAAGGAAAACGCAGACATGACTTGGAGGCCACGTGAATCAAGTCAGGTAACTTGCGCTTTCCCTTGGTGCGAAGTAAGAAATAGGGAGGGCATCGAAGGAGAACTAAGGTGAAATGGATGCTGGTAGGAACAGGGTCCTGCTATTGCAGGCATCATCTGACAGAAATAATTGCCACTTATTGAAGTGGTAAGAAAATTAGCAAATTTTCATTAAGAATTTGATGGACTCCACGAAACATACGGTCTTCCAAACCTCCCATTGCTTTTTCCATCTAAACAGACATTACAAACCACACAAGGAGAACAAGCGAACACACGAGGCATTAGGGAAGAGGCATCTGACCAGTTTCCACCTGCCACTTACAATCACCATTTTAATTTGATTTTTTTTTTTTTTTTTTATCCAATAGAAACTTTGCTTGGATTGAATTCTAGGAGAACGATGGTGTTTGACGTACAGTGGCAATTTTATGCTGTTATACTTTTTATTTGATGTGCAGTAAGGACTTCCTAAATAACGTGCTTCAGCTTTGGTTAAAGCCAGCCACAGATCCGTCCATACGCTCTCTCACAGCGCGATGAGATGATCAAACTGAACCCAAACACGCAGTTTCTTTGGCATTATGAGCTATGTCTATTACGGCTGTCGTGTTCTCTCCCTTTAAAATATCATTAAGTGTTCAGAGTGCAAGGACTACATCTAGTCTTATGGCATGTAAGAGTTTGTCTGATAAATGACAAAGCCACTTTTAAGATACAGGAGTAAAACTCAAAAGTTTTAATGCGATTCTGATAAAACTGGTTCAGCTACTTTTTCTACTTTTTCAATTGAAAAATTAAATCCTGACCCGTCTCTACTGTCTTAGAATATGGCAATGGCTTTCTCTGGCACAAAATGATATAATCTCTGTAAGCAAAGGATTACCAAGCAAAAATATATTTAGTGTTTTTAAAATACCTGAAGTGTGAGGGAAGAACATTGTTGAAAGAAGTCAAAGGTGCTGAGCCATTTTTTGGAAAAACTCATAATGGAAAAAAACGCAGAGAGGGCGACAGAAATCTAGCATAAAATGGTAAACTCCTGTGGAAAAGACGGCAGCTTTTACATTCTTTGCTCAGAATATGGGTGAAGTAAATCCATGGAAGAAAACACCATGGTCCTACTCTTCAAATATAACCTTCAGCCCTGCCGGGACAGTGAGTTAAGGTAGTACGATATTAGCAGGTCGAAAAAATACGACCCCTGCAAGTGAGCTGGTGTATGACTAATACAAAGGCAGTTCCAGTAACAATATGATGAAGAAGAGCTATAAAAAGACCAAATAAGGAGAAAAGAACAAACCAGAACATTTTCTAACACTGGCTAAAATTATTCCTGCGGCGCTGCTGTAGTACATATGTTAACTTTACACGAGTTAATAACCTCTAGCTGTATTTCACTACTGCTTTTCCCTAGTTAGCTACAGGGTGGGGATAATATTTTATAATTCAACGCCACCATTAACACTAATATCTAAAGAACACAAAATAAGTAAGAATACCATTTACTCAAAAAGCATTTAACACTATAAATGCCTTAAACCTACAAGGTGCAGTCCAACAGCTAGTGAAATCAAGTATCACAGGGGAAAAAATTGTACGAAACAGCAGCAAAAACTGCTTTTCTAGGAGGGAACTACGGGGTTTTTCTTCCCTTCCTGTAGCCCCAAGCAATGTTTGTAAACTCAGTCTACAAGAATCACACAGAAACGATGGATATTTTGGTATTTCAATCACAGAGAGAAGCTGTAGAATAGAAAACCCCCCTTTTCCTTGCAGGGGGGTTGGACTAGATGACCTTTGAAGGTCCCTTCCAGCCCTAACCATTCTATGATTCTATGAATAAAAATTAGCTACAGATATGTGAAAAAGAAGTCTTCAGAAGTACGCATACGAGAAACGTCATGTTTTCTAAAATGTAAGAAAGAATCCTTGGTAATCCACTGACCACCGTATTACCCGTGAATTTTTATAAAACTGACACCAGCGTGTTTGCTCTGAAAACAGTAATTTAAACCATCTTATGCTTCATTCAGATACTGGAGTATCTTTCTACTCTTATTCTAGATGATTGACTACGTAATTACTATACCAGAATGGTTACTAATTACTGCCACTGATGTTCCCGAAGTAGAAATATGCTTTTTTTATTGTTCTTTGACATATTTCTTTTAACACAAAATAACTCTAGGAACAACCACCATACCAGTGACGTAGAAACCCAATGTGTTTGGTCTTTCAGAAAATAGCTTATCAAATGAGCGCAGGGCAGACAGCCCTTTGTCCACAGGAAAGACAAATCACCCTCATTTTTCAAGCAACATTCAGATCAGGGCACTGCACACCCCTTACTACTGTTTGCTTTGGAATAGATAGTGATGAAATCCCTGCTAAGCAGTAAAGCACCTTTCCAGAAGATTGAGGTAGCCTGTTTATAGATTAGTACATGAATTCCAAGATGAGTAAAATGATTCTGCTTCTTCCTCGCTCTCATGTTGTTTTCTCAGGGAAAAAAATATTAGAACTTTTCAACTCAGTACTTTTAGCTATGTATCTTGGTACACATCAGCCTGGATTAATGTCACAATGTTTGGGACACGTATAAGTACAGACAAGTGAGTTTGTTCTCTCAACTCCCCTCTCTTACAGTCAAGGGAAAGAAATAAGCACTTTCAGGGCACGACTCATCATATCCTAAAATAGCTATTTAAGACAAGCGTTGACTCATCTGACCTATTTGCGTTGACTAAAGGGAGGCTAGACAACTAGCTCAAATATAGATAGCTACGTTGTGGAGGGTGTATAAACCCGGGGAGACAAATTCTACCCATCACGCTATCATTTTGGAACACTGCAGCCCTTACCAAGGTGCCACTGGTCTTCTAAAATCCAACGGCACAGTACGGGGGAACCTGGCTTCGTTCCTAATCTGAACATCGTCCCAACAAACAGCAATTAGATGGAAAGCATAGAGCCATTAATGTTATTTCTGTACTCTGAAAATAACCAAAGTTTGAAATGAAAGAGGGAAAAAAACGGAAATTTTATCCTGTGCTGTATGATAAACTTTGGCTACGTGGATGTACCAGATGTCATTTGAACTTACAGCATGGACCGCTACCCTAGAAGCACAGGAATACACAAATGTCACAAAAAGTTTTTCAAAACTATTCTCTTCACACCAATATTTGAAAATTCTCTGCCGATAATTTCTCTTCCAATTTTTTCCACAAATATTCCAAGAAAGGAATTTCTGGGAAGAAAATCTAAGAAGGTGCTGCATGAATAAATGACTGATTGAATCTCAGAGCTACAGAAAAAAAACCCCTAGATCCTCAGATGACAAGGCATGCTCCAGGGGACTTCTTGGTCAGTGAGTTTATCACAATGTAGTGTACGTAAGATCAGAGCTTCTCTCTCACCCTACTGCTTCACCTTAAACTTTGATATGAGCCAAGACACCTGAGTTGGCATCTTACATCTAACATCTCTTTCCTAGCACCTACTGATTCCAAGGATTCACTGTGATTCATCAAATCATGAAATGAGTGGATGGTTTGCAGAATTGTTTTTTAGGCTATCGACTGTCTTTCACCTTTCTGAAAACCCGTGAGCCTACTACTTCCCTAATGAAAAAAATGTAATGCAGTGCTTTTCCACACTATAGTGGCCAAAACGATCATTAGATACGTAGGCAAATATCTGAAAAAATTATCCCAGCGCTTTTCCACACTATAGTGGCCAAAACGATCAAACAAAATCAATGTGTTTCCTATTTAAACCTTTATCATAATGTGATGTTAAGCAACCTGTCGTATGCCCTACATAGTTTCTTTTTATTCCTAGGAAATTAATTATTTCTAAAGATGCTCTCTCCTTGGAGATACCACACAACTACAGTAATATTTTTCCTGCATGGCAAATGTTGGCAAATGTTTATTTTTTAATGACAAGTCACAGAACAAAGCTCCATCGCGGTCGCTGCACTTACAAGATACTGCACTGTGGTTTCTCAACATGTTACATTAATCACAGAATCTGTCTGCTGTCTCGAGAAATGATGTTTAAAGTCTTGATAACTGAGACATTAACACGCTTTGCCACTGTGCACATTTTTATTTAAACTGTGCTTCTACCTCATCACTCCACTGATTCAGAGAAATCTTGCTGCTGTCCACCAGTGTTTTATAATGGAATATCAATAATAACCCTCAATTTTACATCTCCTTCCTTTTAAAGTAAGCTTAAAAAAACAATGAGATTGTACTTTACTCCAAACAATGATTCTAAGAATTGTGTCACTTGCCTATTTTAGTCATAGGAAAATTGCATTACCTTTAAAAAATATTTTCCTCCATAGCTCAAGCTCTTAGGGCTGGAACGGAGATGTTTTATTCTCCAGGACTTACTGCAACTACATGACAATCCTTCCTCAACTTGCCTTTTCTCAACATGTCACATCTACATCATCTTTTTCCCACGTCTGTGACAGCACATTCAAACCTATCAAGTTTACCAACTAAGAAATCAATGTTTTTCTTGTTTATAATTATAATGTATACCAATAATTATAGTAATTGCTACTTAACAACAGAGAGTGAATTCCGTTTCGTGCTACACAGAGCTAACACTGGAGACTCTTTTGGTTCCCACCTTCTTATCTCTCTGCTGTCACGGAATCACTGCCTGGCAGGCACAGGTATTCATCCAGCTCATTTTTGGAGCCCTTCTCATTTCCCAGACACTTCTGACATAAACTGCACGTGCCTCTGACCATCACCTCCCATGCTAAACTTGATAGTCTCATTTCACTAAACAATCTTTTTCTTCTAAATTCTCAGATTTGCTCTTCGAAAACACTGACTTGAATTCTCCTGTGATGTAATTTAAGAATTATAATCACTTGAGCCTATATAATTGCTTCTGGCAAGCCCAGTAACTCCCATGTACTTTACTAAAAAAGCCTCAGCAGTATTAACTTTCACTGATTTGTTAATATTGCTCACTGCTAGTCTAAGTTACTCACGACTATAGCTGTTTGTAGCACTTATCTTTTTTTCTGGTGGATGTAAGTCTGCCAAACATACACAACTCCAATAATCTCTTTATAGTAATAACAGTAATAATAATCTTGACAGTAATATTGCAGAGACCTCTAGAACCTGTATCAGGTCTGCTGAAAGATCGTTCGAGCTGTCCCAACAAAACTCCAAACCCACGTCAGCACAAACACATCTTCTGCCAGCCACACCAGCAGTTCTTACCCTAACAGCCCATCACGTTCCTAATGTCTTAAGGTCTTTTAATTGTACTTGAATTAATTCCATTCTTGGCAGACAATAACTACTTTTGGTTTTCAGAATTTTCTCAGGCCACGGGACTGCCAATTCCTAGGAAATGTAAAGCTACATAAAACTTAGCCTATCACGGCTGTTTCTAAAATCATATTATACCAGAATCGCACATTTTTAAAAATAAGCTAAGGACAGTGAGGTTATAGGGACTTTAAAGTTTCTTTGGTCACTAAACTTAGTTCTTTAATGAAATTAAATATTCCCATTATTGGGGTGAAGTTATTTTGAAGCATCAGAATAAAAAACTACAAGCAAGTTTGGTGCACATTCTGATACTGGGTTAACTTCTGCTGCTCTGCCTACGAGTGTTCTGGCAAATTCTGAATTTCTAAGCTGTCAATCTTTTAAACAAAACTGATTTAGCAGGCTAACTACCAGACGTGCTAGTACTATCATGTCTCCACCAAG